TTGGCATTTGGGCAAACGGGCAATACAAATCCCAATTCTTAAAACATATAAACAGATTCTAACAAAACTTTATCAATATACCCTAATATTATACGATTCATTTGTTTCGTTATTTATTCATAATAAAAAAAAATACATAAATATATTTTATTCTAATAACTCAAAAGAATATATTCAAATAAATACTATTCTCAATAAATCTGCTTATAAAAAATAATTAGAAGACTGTTGTGGTGGAAGAACTAACATTTGGGACACCTAGCTCTGTCCTCTAAACTCTAAAGTATAGAGGAATATTATTTGTTTTGTTTCTTTAACTACTGGTCCATAACGATAATAATGAAATATTTAAGAAATGTATACAAACGCTAACCCGGTACGTTTGACAAAAGTGATTCAATATTTGATTAAATATAATACAAACTGAATTGGGTGTTTCATTCATCGGCATTTAGTGTTGTTGTCTTTATAGAATTTGATTAGAGTTCATAATTAATTTAAATACTAACATCTGGATTATAAAATATTTTCTTTTTTATACGATTTCGAATTAATTATACATTTTTATAAAAACAATAAATACGTTGTAATAAATATCTTTATTTATAAGTGTAGAAAAATGTTATGGTTATTTAATTTACACTTTTACATTTAACAAATAGGCTGTGTTGGTGAAATAGAAAATCTTTCTCTTACTTATTGCGTACTTGATAAAAATAAAAATGCATAAATATGTTTTAAATTGTGTGTAATATAAGTATTATACACATTATATTAGATTATTATTATAAAAACATTTAACTTTTTTTAGGCTATTTAACATGCTCTGTATTTTTTAAGTAGTTTTGTTTTCAAAATACAATAGTTTTAATTCTGATCTAAGAATAAAATCAGCTATTTTGGGGGTAACCCCAATTTTTGAAGACTTTCTTAAAGTTATGACTTTTATTAGTATATATTTAGAAGGAAATCTTTCTGATGATAAACTTTTTTAGCTTTATTTTTATTGGTTCTGACTAGGCTTAGATAAATTTAGTTACTCGGAGAATGGTATATACAGATAAGAAAACTGATCATCTAAAATATATATTTACTATTATATAAGTACAAGAAAGTTGAACTTTATACTTGTATAGTATTCATTTATTATGATCGCATGATTAGTTTGAGTGCAAAAACTTGATGGATGGTGTTGCGTTATACCTACTTTGATCCGTTAATATTTCATTGCCTTTTATTTTATGCAGACTGTACATTATTCATAAAGTAACCAATTAGCTGAAAGACTAACGCAAGGAGATACCATTTTGATTATAATGAAATATAATCTGCACTTATTTGCTACTTACTTATTTACTTTTAAAACCGGGAATTCGAAATTTTAAAAATTCTATTTATTAAAAGCAAAAACTATTTTTATGTATTTGAACATTGTAAGAAACAAAATTAATTATGATTTTATAAAATAAAAATACTTCAACAGCATTAGATAAATTACGAGTAAAACAACATTTTACTATTTATACTGCAGCTTAATTTATTTTTAGTGTTAAAGTATATAATTAATTAATTTAAATATTATGGGATAAATCCATTAAAACTTTTACTATATCACCAGTTTAATTTTTTAAAACAAAATCAAATATCCAACAGAAGTTTGGTGAACTAACGACCAATTAAGTAATTATCTTGTACTGATTACTTATAAAAAAGTACACAAAAAGAATTATAAAAGTAATAAAAAATTAAAACACTTATTTTTGCATTCACTTTTCATCAGGAAAATTTTATACGTGGTCGTTTTGGATCAAAATATTAAACAAATTTAATTATAAAAATAATTTAACAATAAAATAAATATTTATGTTAAAATTAAAATATTATTGGAAAACATAACTTGTTCGTTGTGTTCAATCCCTTACAAAACTCTTGAAAAATCTAACGCTAAAGTTGTTAAATATAAAATTTTTTTTTAATTACATTATTTTAATTGTATACAAATATGACTAAAATTATGTTTCAATTATATTTTCAATAATTTGTAAAGGTCTGGTAAATCCGACATAGGTTTCACTTGCGAATATTCTGACGTTAATTTCTGTTATACCTAAATTTGTTTTAGAATCTCGTTTTTTTTTGCAAAGTATAAATTTGCGGTTACCGACAAAATTATCTTGTTTCCGCTTTAAGCTATAACATACTGCGATAATGACAAAAATAAAGTTTTTCTTATAATTATTATTATTTTTTTTTTAAATACCAAATCATTTGTTATCATACAAAATAACAGAACATCCTTTAAAAACTCTTAATAGATTCATCTTTCAGCCTATTGTTTCTGTTATTCGTACGAAACAGCGCATAATAAGGAACACCTGCTATTGTATATTATTATTATTACTGTTGTTATAAAATATACGAATAGTTCTCGAAATACCAATCGTATGAATTACATATTATGTGACTTATCACTTGTCATAAAAAACTAATGTCATGAATGGGGCTATACTTGCAATACGTTGTTTTCAAAAACCATAAACAATTACAATCATTTGAAAGACGCATCGCATCAAAACAAAATTATGATGTATTATATTTAATGTAAATTAAGAAGAGCACTCATCCCAATATTAAAACAAAAAAAAAGTGTAGATATAAGAGAATAAATTTATAAGAGAATAAATCATAAAAAAATACATGCAACCAGTTTGATTACATTTTATAGTTAACTGTTGAAATTATTATTTTAATTTTATTCTACATGTACGGCAGCTTTTATATTTTTATAATCTTTGGTGAGCAGTAATTAAATATCAGTTTTAGTGTTACTTTTTAAAATTAATTTTTTTATAAATTACTCTTTTAAATGTATTATATAATTACATAATACATAATTTATTGCTTAGTTTTTAGAAATTTGTAATTAAATACAATTTGTTTTTTTAATTTGTTCACCTCTGATTAAAATAGTTATGTCGCTATAAACTACTAGAAAGTTTATTTATTCGTTGTCGACAATTATATTTTACAAAACATAAACGAATAACAAAATATGACAATTAAACTTTTTATTAATTTATAGAAGCAGTCTACTTTAAGGCGATTAGATAATAAGAATACAAGCCAAGCTTTTGAGGCCTTGAACTTTGTAATGTCCATTTCAAATACATTTTAGCTATAAATCTAAAACTGAATTGTATTTTAAGTATTTCTAATACGCGATATGGGAATTGTTACAAATTGCCAAATAATTAAGACTACTCGATATTAATAAAGTATATTTTTTAATTAATTTGTCATGTGAGAACAAAACTAACTTTATACATTCTGCTTCTACAACTTATAATACAATCATAGAATTATTCTATATAATAAATAAAGGTATGTGACGGGCATCATGACTAATTTCAGTAGTTCTCGGTGGACGTTATAGATGTTTATTTACTAAACGATGTAACAAGAAAAAAAATAGTTGGAAGCATTATGAATTGACAATGATGTACGGACGGCTTATGAAGGTGGTAGGTACTGTTACAAATGATGGTTGAGGACTAAGATGACTATACTCAAACTCTCGGGAGTAACGATGAGTAATTATAGAAGATCTATAGCTTAATGTATCCTATTTAGTTTGTCGTTATTAAAATACTACGTATTAAATTACCAGGGCAGGCGAAAGGGTATGCCTGCCCCTCCCCTTTACAAAAGACCTCGCGGGTTAGAAGCCTTTGATAAAAAATAATTTACTGTTAAAAAATTAGAGCCCTGTGTAGAAATTAAAATATTATGTTTACCTACGTAATTCTATACAGTGTAATTATTGACATTGAAATATACAACGAATACAAAATAAGCCGATTGTGCTACTCAAATTTAAATACTGTGCCTTAAAAGAGAAAATAAAGAAAACATTCTTACTTCTTTTGGGGAGAGGTTCATGATATGTTATTTTTTTTAGGACTGTATACTTGAAACTACTTTAATAATTTTCCGGAAGTTTTATTGTAGGTACCGTATGTCTAAGTTGAGATTTATATATATGTTAATTTTTAGGATTTCTTTTTCGAATTTAAAGGGAAATTAGTGAAATTTTTCAAAATTAATTGCAAAAGAATACACGCTTAAGGTAACAACAACATTTTAGTAAATGTTTTTAAATGTTTCACGAAAAAGTTTAATTATTATTAACCAAATGTATTATTTTTTTTTTAAATATTTAAAAAAATATATTAAAAAAATTTCCAGTAACTAATTTTTAGCTGAATACATTTGCCTGTAGTTCGCCTGCCCCCCCCTCCCCGCAGACCGTAACATAATATTATATTATGCTCTTATATGATGCTCTTTGCGTACCATCGACTTATGTCGCACCGATTGTGAAGTTTAGTTTTTTTCCCCCATAAATAACTGTCTACATAAAATAACGTTGACTTGCCCAATACAATATACCTTCAGTTAGCCCAGACCATAAAGTATAGTCATTTTCGCTCAGTCATTATTATTATTTTCTTTTTATGTAATTCTAACAAAAAGGAAAACCGCATTGGAAATTCGCAGCAACGGATGTCCGTCGTCGTCGGCCGGCTCGTTCAACGGATGATATGGCCACAGACCATGTCTTGGGTTCGGCAAACGGATAAACAGAATAGCACATCGCATACCTACTGCAATGGTAGTAGAAGTGGTGGTGGTGGTGGTAGTTTAGGAAATTCGATACAATAATGATTGAGTTTCACGTGGACAAAATTATCGGCGGCCGTTAAAAAAATTAAAAAGTGAATAAATAAATAGAATACATTCGGCGAAAAAATACATACGTAGGTACACGACACCGTACAGGTGTATATAATAATATTAAATATATATGCATTATCGTCATCGTTATATTATTTATCTTTGATCGAAACAGGGGTGGGGGGGACGCACATCCAAGGGAAAGTCTTCTTCGCGCGCGCACTTGGCACGGCGCAGGTCATCAACTATAACGGCACCTTGCCCGGTATATAGCTCATCTAAGTTTAAACTACTCTTTTAGTCAATTGCCGAAGCTCGGTTCTCGCATTAAGCACCTGGTCGAGCATAGTAGTGGTAGTGTATAAGTAGTTACAATACCTAAGTAATAATAGTATATATTATCCGTGTGCTCGTCGCGTGTGTGTCTACATATTAGATATTCATCGTGCGTTCAGTGTCGCCGTGCTCGATCTCATCGGCTCGATTCGCGCTCTTACACGGTTCGGATTTATTCGAGTACTCGTACTTAAGCACCGCCAGTGGCGCTGAACGTTTTCGCATCGAAACACAGTATTTACACGTACAAAACCAAAGGTCAGTGTGTTTTTCGTTTGTATTATTATAATATAGTGAAAACGAACATTTTTATATAATAGTAAAATTAAAAAAAAAAAAAAAAACCAAGATTTTTTTTCACATATTTTCCAGTATTTAGTTATATTTTGTTTTATTCGAGTAAAATTAATAATACGCCGGAATCGTTTGGGAGGTAGCCGCGTGGATTCGAAAGGGAATAAACAGATCTTTTTTTTTTTTTTTTGCTAAATTATTTTATATATTTTTTTTTTATAACGATATAGTTGATAGAATTTTTTTTCAACCGTGTAACAATATACTAGGAAGTTTAGGACGATAGACATTGGACTGAGATTTTCCCTAAACATTTTAGGATGTACGCAATCCGGGATCAGAAAGATTTTAAACGGCCCGCTGTTACCACGATCTCCATTAGCGATCCTAATGAGACGATCAGTGACTTGGAGCCACCTCGTCCCTGCGATTTATCGGTGAGATTTACACGATCCTACCAGCTAGTAAAAATTATAATTAAAACACACACACATATATGTATAACCATCACGAATTCCACCGCCGACGGTATCTGGGGTAGCACGGCCAAAAAAAAACATCATATCATAAGCTTAATTTTTTCTGCAGTAAACGTTTGACTGATAGACGCTTGCAGTATTGTACTTGGCTTAAATTGTTATAACTGTACACGCAAGTAGCATATTATAGTAGCTAGCTGTGCGGTTTGTTAAGAATTTATTATTATATATAATTATGGTTCTGGTTCTTCGTATTTTTTTATTATTTTTCTAAGCGGGTAACACGTGCGAGATTCGATGATATTTTCATCGAAACCCGCGTGTGTGTGTGTGTGTGTGTGTCGGATGCAAACGGGACCGGGTTTGAGTCGGTGGTTATTTATGGTGGTCGATTCGCCCGTGCTTTGAGTACGTCTAAAACAACAAAAAATATTATAATATTGTAACGATCAAAACAAATATTAACCGTTGTAAAATCGTCCGCGGTAATCGCTAAACTGTGAATATTTTCTCATAACGCTAGCGCGGTATAATATAAAATATAATATTATTTATTGTATTAGGAACTTATACATAAATTATATTTACATAGTAAAATGTAAAATATGTATTGTTGTGTAGCGGTGGTCAGAAGTTTGGCGATAATACGTTTGTTTTTTTTTTGTTTCCCCACAATTTTCCAGATGATCAAATGGGTATTGATCGTGACCTTGGCATGCTGCGCGCTCATGTACAGCGCAAGCTCTTCGCCCATTTCCACCGAAGAACCCGCTAAGCTGACCGCATCGTCGGCCGAGGTCACCGACAAGGTGTCGACCGCGGCGGCCACCGACAGCGCCAGGCAGTCGGCCGAGTCCAGCGCGGCCGCCTCGCCGGCCCCGGTGTCCGAGCAGCCGCAGCCCGTGGCCGCGCCCGTCGCGCCCGCCGTCCAGGAATCGTCGTCCACGGACGACGACGACGACGACGACGACGATGACGACGACGTCGACTTGGACATCACCGGCGACTCGGACGACGACGACGACGACGACGACGACGACGATGACGACGATGACGACGACGACGACGACGACGAAGAGGCCGACGCACCGGCCCAACCGGCCAGCGCCAACGCGGCCAACGGCGCCACGGCGTCCACCGGCACCCAAGCCGAGTCGTCCACCAACAGCGAAGACGACGACGACGATGACGAAGACGACGAAGACGACGATTACTTCGACAGATTCTTCGAAGACATCCTCGGAGGTTAGTATTTGCGGTCAACCACAGGTCTTTTCACAATAATATAATATTATCCAATAATAATCAATTCAAAATATCTTATCAAGTGCAATAAACAACAACGCGGGACAGTAACATTATAACAGAAGATAAATCTTAAGAAAAAATAGTACCTATTAGAAGTGATGCACACCAGATATTTATATCAGAAATTGCTAAAGATTTCCATTGATTTTCATAAATTTGTTACCAGCAATGGCTTACCCCGTAGATAAAATAATCACTATGCCCGGTCAACGTTGTAAAATGCTTCGTCGCAGGCAATTTTATCACAAACTCGGAGGGTTGGTCACATATTTTTTTTACACGCCATACCGTTATTGATGTTTATTGCGTTTGATTGTATCTTGAATAATAATTTTTTATTAGGGTCTACATCTCTTCTACATACTCTCTGTCTTCCACATAAAACGGGAAAACTGTAGCTTTCATACGTAGTTAATATACATATAGCAAAAATAACAGCTATATTTATACATACCTATTTTATCAATATACATTAACTCGCACCGCATTGCCATTTTTTTTAGGATTCGCACGTTACATTTTTTTTCTGTAGTATTGTTGTATGTATTATAATGTATTAAGCGTTCAAAGGTCGAGCCGATCGACGTCGATCCAATATATTATTGTATTGATCGTACATACAATACAGCGACCAAGACCGGCATCGTCATACCATGACGTTAACTGCGCTTTGCTTATAGAACACACGGCATTTGCGAGCCGAGTTGTCTTGTCGATTACTTTCGCATTGCCCATTTTAGCCTATAATATACTGGATGTATCACGAGCCCTTGGCAAATTGTATGTAAATCTAACAATTTATCGTGGTACATCCTTCCTATACACATCTGAGCATCCTCGATCCGCGCTCGTTTGTTTTCTTCTGAACATGGCGATCAATGGGACTTAATACAAGGAAGCGATATACAGGAGACTTTAACGCGTTCCAACCTTGTCCGTAACTAGGTCGGGTATTGTTCAGAGTATATATATAACGTACAGTTTACAAATTTGAAATAGAGCAATTACATTTTCGGATACTTTACATGTCCCGGAATGTCTCTAAACCTTTTATAACATTACGGTTTAATCGTAATTTGTTGCTGTTATTGTTGTAAAGAGGATACGTTTCTCAGAGATTAACATTATAAACTCGCTTTCCCGCGGCCAGCTTCACAGATCAGTCGTATTGTGTTGAGTTATCGTTTCACCGACGCGACAACATAATGGGTAACCCACTCGGAACGGATCGAATCGTTTGGCCGCGAAATCGATTAACGGGAAACCCGACGACAGAACAAATTCCACGACGATATTCCATACATAAGATAGCCGAAACAACACAGCACACGTCTTATTCGAAACCCTTTTCTCGTTTCCCTTACTTTTGGAAATTGGCGACGTTCATCTCTCAAACAGTGTGCGGGGTAGCCTGTCTGTATAGCCTTCCTGTCGAATCACATCCTGTACAATATAACGATATGCAGCGCGGATCGAACAGGAAAACGCCTTTTGCTATTTTTTTTTCACATTCTCACCTCACAAACTTTAATAGACTCTCGACGACGACAACTTGACTCTTATAATATATAATACAACAAACGACAAAATGATTAAATTAATATAATTACTACCAACACTACCACCACCACTCCAACGTTACTTTGGATGATCTAGACACGCTTATTTGTTATATTTTATTATAATAAGCGCACTTTACTATAACAAAAAAAATAAAAAAAACTTTCAAACACTGGACAATGCAAACGAAATCTGTAAAAACATAATTACACGACGAATATGTTTTACGGCTGTTCTACTAACTAAACCTCTTGAAAATGTTTTCTCGCACTTATTTTCCGATTACACGTCTTTTTAAACAACGAATTTTCCAACTGTTTAACGGCCATTTGATTTTGCAAATAAAAATATAAATGTTGACCATGAAATCCACGCGGTTCACCTTTTTCACCCACCAATTGATTAACCAAGCCCGACATATCGTTACTGGCGATTCACAATCAAGTTCATGGTCAATAACGCATGTTTTCGTTATCTCGTTTGGCCTTACGGTTGATCAAAACCAATCCAACATGATATTATTATCGTGTGTCCGTCCGGGCATTTTAAATTTCGGTTCATCTCTACGTTTTCCAACGGGACAAAACGGGCAAGGGAAGAGACGTGTGTAGTACACCTATATAACACATCCTGTATAGCATAAATTGTATAGCATGTGACACGGAAGCAGACGTCTTCCGATCATGATTGTGACACGAGTGTAATTTTGGCATTGTGTGTCTGTTTGTTTTTTTTAGGTTGATCGAACCCGATCGACCGCGGGAGACTAACAAATTACAGAAACACATAACATCAAGATAAACGACAATAAACGCGTGTACATAGAGAACCTGTGTATGCGCTAAATTGTATTTGACATGTGAAAAACCGACATCGAGAAAAACACATCTCACTACTTAACGGACTCGATCAAAAATTAAAATTAAAAAAAAAAACACTTAGTTACAAAAAAAAAAACCTTAGCGTTAAGATTGTAGAAACGAAACTTATTTATTTTAAACTCTAATTTATTTATTTATTTATTTATTTATTAATAATTTATTATAGAATATGTTAGTACCTACCTAACTTTATTTTTTTTCACCGCTTCAAATTACGAATCATACATACATTTTTTTGTTTTGTCTTTTATAATAATTTATTTATTAACCATCTATCATTCTATCTATCTATATATATATATATATATTTATACTGATTATGATATTTTTTAAATATTTGCGACAATTTGTTACCAATACAACAACTAAATATAACGAATACATAGCGTGTCATCCAATTCATGCATAAATATATATATATATATATTTCTAAATATTTAAAAAAAAATCGAGAAAAAAAATGTAAGTTCGTGTTCAATAGCTTAAGATATTATAATTATTATTATTATTATTATCATAATCGAGTGTCATAACGAACATTTTTTAATTTAATTTATTTATTTATCAAAGAAAAACAAAACATGGCTGTGATAGCGATTATTTCAGCAAATAAACAGATTTTAATATTTTGAAAATGATTTATATTTTATTACTGTCATCATTATTTATCATCTTCTTCACAAACTATTATTATAAACAACACAATTATAGAATTTTATATTCTAGTTACTACAACGCATCGATTACGCCACGCTGAATAAAATATAAGTACCGGTTAATGGTGAAGGTATTATTATGTATTTTGTAGTATCCTACGCTTCTAAATAATTATATTATACATATTCTTTGGCTGGTCGTTAATGGTATCCCTGGATGGTGACCGGTGAACTATTGTGCAGACCAGGAAACCCTATATATTTTTTACGATAATGGTCGTAACGTATTAAAAAAAAATGTTTCCTGTTCCGGTACCTTAACGCACACTAACGCAGAACTTAAGTAAATACATTTTTTCTTACAATTATATATATATCAATAAAAATAATATTGTTTTGTACCGGATCGTAGTGGATACCGATAGACCGACGAGACACACTTGATGAAAACGAATTTAACTCGATAATATATACTCGGGACACAAATTTTTGAGCATAATTAATTATTGTTTTGGTAAAATGTACACTGTACTTAATTAAATGCCTGATCGTATGGGTTTTACCAAATTTGTTCAATAATATTGTATTAAATACCAATAAACTAATGGATATGAACGCGTCAAAGAGGTTTTAACTTTTTTTTTAAATCAATCATAATATGATTTACACCACATCCATATTGATTGGGTCAGGTTAGGTTAAGATTAAAAAACCAAAGTTAGCCTAACTGAAGTTTTCCCTAATCTAAATTAACTTCACTGGTTCGCTGTGATCACTTTTCTCAAAGCTTTTTCAATTTTTTTTCTCGGAGTGAGACAAAATGTAAACCCTTGTTGACCCAAACCATATAGGTCTGTCTGTCGGTGCTCTACGGTGTGTGTGTGTACATTGTTGTTATTTAAATAATTTAAGAACGTGTAACATTGATGACGGTTTGTCGATAGATGGAGACGACGAGGAAGAGACGCCGGCGGCCGCGGCGGCCGTGCCGGTGTCCGGATCGGTGTCCAGCACGTCGGCGCCACAAGGACTGTCAGCGTCGGTGGCCGACTCGGCGGACTATCCGTCGGGCATCGCCGGTGGTGAGCTATCGTCGAATCCCAACTACGACGACGCCGTCGATGACGGGGACTCGGGTTCGGCGGCGTCTTCGTCGTCGTTGTCCGACCTGGACGGGCCGCACACCGTCACCCTGTTGTCGCCCGTGCCCGGCGACGACGACCTGACCGGCGGCGGCGACGGCAACGCCGCTTCCGTGCAAGTCGTGGACACCAACAGCATAGCGGCCGCCGCGCCGTCCGCCTCGTCGCCGGCCACGGACGACGACGAAGACGACGACGACGATGACGACTCGGCCGCCGACGAGGACGACGACGACGACGACGACGACGACGACGATGACGACGATGACGACGACGACGAAGAGTCCTCAGAATCGGAAGCCAAGAGTGTCGCCGGACGAGCGCGTGAGTCCATCAGTGTGAACACGGCCAAACGCATGACCCTGTTTGACTGCCAATTATTTGTACAGAGTTTTTCACTTAACCGTATAACACACGTGCATAGAGGGAATATGAAAAACAAAAATATCAAAACATTGTTTGGGTTTTTCAAATAATTGTAAACGCGTTTTTAACACCGATTCTCAAGGAGTAAAATATGGGCTAAAAATAGCACAGGCTGGATTCGAAACCATTCTATGAACTTTTCAACAAATATCTAAGTGTTACAGTGTGTTCTGGAATTTCAGCGTGAAAGTACATCCAAATAAAGACAATCGTTTTGTCTACATTTTCACGTAAGCTAGTTTCGATATAGTTATTAAACAGTGAATACGATTTTTTAATAATGGTTTATAACTTTGCCTAAAATCGCTATGTCTTGATATTGAATTTTCTATTAACGCACCCTGTGTACGCCGAAAATGTCCTTTAAACAGTCACATGTTTTCCCATTCGCTATACAAAATCAGACATTTTTGTGTAGCATAAATGTAGACATTTAGGGCGCTTGAGCCACAGCTGCCATCGGTTGACACCAAAGCTGGCAGATTTCGGGAAAATCAATTTTACGTGGTTTAAATTCCAATCATAACTTATTCGAAACCTCATTTTATCTACATCTACTTTCTACCAATCTTTATATTTGTTTAAAGTTCTACAGATAAGAAATATTTACATTTTTTTTGCCATTCATATTCCCTACTCCTGGCTTGTGCATGAGGTCGTACTCTTGCCGTCTGCACGATCCTGCACATAATATGTACATATACACTGGTTGACATTAAAAAGCAAAAATAACGTGCACACATGCTATTAATGTCTGTCAATTGCTTAGGTGTACCTTAAAAGAAAATTAATGTACAAATTGCCTCCAAAAAATTAACAGCTAATATATTTGAGAAACTCCCAAGTGCGTTCAAAAATCAATTACACCTACTGTTATTGTTATTCTATTAAAAATAAAAATTGTCAAACTTAAAAATGTGTGTATACATACATACTGACGCATTTGGGCTATTCCCGTTGAACGATATGAATTAAAATTTGTTTTTTCATTTATCTATCGTCGAACAAAATATTTAACTTACTTTAATATTATAATAATTAATAACATATTTTAATTAACACTAACCATTATTATAGTTTGTGATTCAGCCTTGCAAGTTATACTATATAATATTATACATTATACAGAATTTCGAAAGGGATTACACACCTCTTTCCAAATTCGTTGTCTTTTATGCGTTGCGGGACGACATGCACAAGGTGTCGTTTAAACACCTTAGTGTTATCATATGCATAATCATAATTTTCGGTCTAGCATGAGCGGTTACTAACATGATACTTCATGTGGCTTAACGCAATGGCCTTACAACGATATAGTATTAGATTATAAACTACACATCAATCTAATGGCGGCCATACTTTTACCTTTACTAATATGTAAATGGGTGTAAGTACCTACGTAAGCAACCGCGGTACATAACCTAGATAAGTTATTTAAAAAGAAAATAAACCGTCCGTCCGCTGAGACTGACCTTAATAATAAAATTAATATATCGATCAGATCTAGAAGCGAGATTATTTTTCTACATTTTTTTTAATGTGTCCAACAGAACCGTTAGTGTGCACTGTGCACGCGATAACCTGTTGTGATCCATCGATCGTTTCGTGCGCTCCAATCGCTTCTTCTACGGGTATAATAAGATGTTCTTTTTTTGTTATGTATATGTATACATTTAAATATTTTTCCCGTTAACCGCGTTTTAGTATAATACCGATATTAACACGTTTGGTCGCAAGCCCGTTGGGCATTTCCACATAAAATAATAACATTGTAAATTTTATCCCAATAATTAGGAAGGCGAAACGAACTCGATTGACACTTTTTTCACTGATCATAGCCCGCATATAAAGTATATTATAATGTACATATTATTATCTATTGCATTGTTGTTGCCAATTGCTTCGGAACGCTTAACCTACATCATCATCATGTTTGTCACAATGCTTATGATAGGTTTTCCTTGTATAACATTATAATATGGGTTTTATCACTTCGGTTGAGTTACAACAAAGCGCAACAATATTAACGATAACGTTCCCATCGATTATTCCTCGAATAATAATAATTACCAATTACCTATTTACAAGCACATTCCGGACTTAATTGAAGGCCTTGACTTATACAATAATATTAGTTTGTTTCAATTATAGGTATCTAGGTTTGGAGGATATTGATTGGATATACAATTTTAATAATGAGTTACTGTATAAATACGTTTGTTGTCACAGAGTAGTTTTCGCTCATCTCCGATTGTCGGCCGCACATTCAGCTACTGGATTAGATCATATTATTATTTTCCCGGATAATTTTCACTCAATATATTTTAATGGGAACCAGACGACGGCTAACCTATCCGTTTGAAAATCCACCATATGTCAAACGAGCCAACTCCTCACAATCTCTTGTCGTTGGACCGACCAAGCTGATTTTTATTGATCCCTACCATCCGAACGGGCTTTCACGGCGTTAACGTCCGGTTCGATACGATAGCCAAGTCGAACAATAATAATAAATCAAAGACTTCTGAATGAGTTGAATGGGGGGAGGGGAGGAGACTAATAGCGTTTCGTCACGGGTACACATCCGTCTCCATAAATTATCATATTATCGTTTTAAAGTCCCCTGCTCCCCTCTTCCCCTATCCAATAATGATCACCATACCGCACTTATTATAATATAAACAGATACGACGGCCTTCTCCCGGTTTTCGATACACCGAGGCACCGCTCTTCCTCCGGCCCGGACCCACACAGAGCCGTTTGTAATCCGGAAACCCGCATCCGGATACGGTCATGTTCCTCCTCCCTTTTCCCCCGTCTTCCTGGCCGGTCCGAAACAGGTTCAAGGATGTGACCCCGATACAGGTCTCGTATATGTGTCGACCTTGTGGGCGTGCCCCCCCCCCTGCGATGGACATACGGTCTACGCTGGGTTGGACTTTATCTGTTCCGTACGACGACCGCCGCCGCTTAGAAAGCAACCGGAATATAACATATTTTACGTTATTATTATTATTATTATTATTGTTATAATACACGTTTTTCCCGTATAACGTCTGTACCGCTGAGGTTTTATCCCACGAAAAAACGTTTCACCGGGGAAAAAATAAACACACACACAAACTCTCTCCTGACCGGTCACACGCATCGTTATTTTAGAAAACGTTTAAATACCGTTGCCCGGTAACCGTGCATTATAATATAATGAGCCAATAATAACCGTCGGGATTTATAATTATTATTCAGCACCGACTTGGATCTGAAAAGGCACTGGTTTATTTTTTAACTATTTTACCTAACTTACCTATCGCCGTTTTCAGTACATTTTAATTATAATTTAATGGCTGGCAAGACTTACATAGTCTATCACAACTGAGTTGGGTAAATTACATACAAAAATGTCATATAGATAGCTGCCCGACATAAGGTGGCCGACTCACGTGTACACTTACCGTAAGAAACCTCAGTCAGTAGAGTGGTGTAAAAAAAATGTAAAAAGTATAATCTCCCGCAAATACAATATAAACCGTTGCCGGTAACTTACTTCCTCGGCCGTAAGTACGATTAATGTGAATCGCCCCGCGAGTGTCTACATGTATATAATAATAATATAATGTATACCACCTATAATAACCAGTACAATGGAGCTTGTGGACAAAAGCCATTTGCCGTTGCGCTGCACGTTTTGGCTTTCAGGTGATTTAACTGCAGATAGTAATATAATAATACGGTGGCGGTAAACAAACGTTTGGTCCGAACTAACGGCTAAAACGCATTAGAATATTCGGCGCAAGTACACCGAGATAAATAATTGCCAAACCGATAAATTGCCGACAGATTAAAATAACAGAGTCCCTAAAAAATATTCTGGGGCCATCTATTAGATTGGTATATAAGACTCCCACCTCACCTCGACAACCGAACGAAAGAATCAATATTAGATATTTACTAGACACTGTTTTTTTTTTTAAAGGGGACTACACGCATGGAGTTAATTATCGCTTTATATCGCATATTTATACATTTTGCATACTCTTTTATACATAACCAATAAGTTACCGAGCTGTATTAGCGATTGGTTAGGATTATCGCAATGGATCCCTTTATCTGCGATTGAAAAGCATCAAAATTAAACGGTATTTACAGTACTGGTGTAGCCATTTTAGCAGTGAAAAGGATCACGTTGTGATTAATATTAAACATCAGCGATCATCGTTCTCATCACTGTCATAACAGCTGATTTCTTCTCTCGTTTTCCATTATTATTTCGCACTTGTTTGCCCATTTTAGGTCGCTTTTCCAAGTAAGTGTTTTCAGAAGGAGTCATAGCCAAAACGCTTTCTATGTTTTCCCGTACGTCACGTATTTGCCAGGTTTGGGCCCCTGAAGCAGACCAAGACATTGCTAAACGTCTTGTGCTGAACTCGAGACCGTCAACTGTATTTACACAATGAAACTTACACACTTATATTTCGCCTACTTTTATACATTGTACGTTGGCGCAAGCGATAATTGCATTTCGGCTCGTGCATACCTACACGGTTGTAGTGTGTGTGTGTACTGTGTATGTATTTTTTTATTTACTTTTTGTCCGGAGAAATTACTTTTTCCTCTTGTAAGCGATCAAACATGTAGCGTTTCCCCGTGGGCCAGCGCCAACATAGCCGAGCCATAGGTATACGACCATCGCGGGGCTTACACGGGAATACAATATGGGCAATCGCACTCTCGCCGAAGAAACGAGATCATCGCACGTGATGTTGTGATAGATCAGCAGCGTCTTGCTTTCTTTTTGTGCACGCCAGTCGTTTTAGATTATTAACGATAAATGTTATCTGAAAACCCAAAAAGAAAAACATATAGAAAAAATAAATTATTAGCGGACCCGCGCCGCGGTTCGTTTCCACCGAAAGCGTGCGATGGTTATAGAAAATCGGATTTGAAAAAGAAAAAACTGATGTGCAAATCGGTAAATGGCAAAATAAAAACCCAAAATTAGAGGAAAACAACCATTTTTTTTTTAATTAAAAAAATATTTAAGATTTCTATCTTTTTTTTTTTGGTTTTGTCTGTTGTAGATCTTTTTTATTTCTAGTGAGTAAGAAAATGCGATGGTCGTGGGAGATCGTTATAGTTTATAGATTCATTCATGTTAAAAATATAATGTAAAAAATCCTGTGTAGGTACTACGTGCAGACTAGAGCGCAGAAAGAGTGGAAAAATGATGTACAAATAATGGAAAAGTCCTCTCGCGGCCGTTCCATCTGGTATTATTAACATAATTTAAAAAAAAAATGTATAACAAAAATAACACTCTTGGCTTGTCGGCTGGTAAAGGTGGTTGCTATTTTGTACGGTGTATAAGCTGTATAGAACATAATATATTAATAATATATAACTTATATTTGTATATATTTTTTTACTATTTTAATAGTTATTAACGAAAATAAATTTTTTTTTTATATTATTATAACGACTACGGTGCGTACACTATAATATTATGTGATGTTATTATAGATATACTATATTATTATTTGCGGGTTTTTGTGCAGGAATGTTGTTGTCGAATTTAAGGAGGCCAAACTGGTCTCTCGCCCACTTTTGCTGTACCATTTTGCGCACGCCGCCGGCCCATAAGTCGATAAAAAACAACAATAATAATAGCGTTCATACGAATTATAATAATTTATCTTTATCGTTGTTATATGTACACCTATTTACTTACTTACTGATAAGTACAATAATACAGTACCTGTGACGGCGCTGATGATGAATATTTTATACTTAATGAATTCCCTGCACATGCGAATGTCTTCGGTCGTGGCTCGATTTCGGGTTGGGCACGACGGCGACCTGGAAACTGCGAAACGAGGAAGCGACGGGATGAATAATAATACTAATAACGATAGATAATAATAATAATATCGGGTGGCGGCTTTAATGTTATGCCAAGAACGTTGACCCAGCGCCAGCCAGTACAACCGTACCTCTGACACACACACACACATTCGAGCAAACCGGCTGATTAACGGATCTTTCGGATTCAGTATGTATGCACTGTGCATATAGTTAGTATGCGTGAATCACTCGCATGGGACACCTAATGGCATTGGTGGTGGTCAGATAGTTTAGATAAAAAAAATGTAAAAAATTATAGCATGTTAAATAAGCCATACGAATAACTGTATAATATAGTATACGACATTTCGCATGAAGCTATAATCAATCAAATAGCCAGGGGCGGGAACATTACCCAAACCAATGTACTTGATATTACGGATTAATAATTAAAACATTTTACAGTACTTAACTACCAATTTTAAATATTATGATACTCCACAGCAATGACTTACTAATTATATAAGTTCCTTAATTGAAGTATAAATTCATTTTTTTTTTTAAATGGTGTTACATTTTCGATTACTTGAGTTAGTAGATTTTTTTTTAATTATACCAATATTCACAAATCATATTATGTAAAAGGTATTGAACATTCAATTTTTAGTATTATTATTATTATTTTTTTTTTTATGAAATTATTGTTTTGGCTAAAAATGTTTCCTAAAAACTCGTTGGCAGTGCTTGACAATACTTGTGGCAAAACTGGGGGACTGTCACGGATCTTATAAACATTCGTGCAGCAATAATTATCGACCTACTCTAAATCTTAAAAGTCTATTCCTGCTGAAGTTCTAAGCGTGGGCCATCGGATGTTACCGGATTGGTTCTAATTTAAGTAGACGAACAGGGAATTGTGTGCGGTTTTTTTTTTTACCGTGCGGGGGCTGGGCCCGACAAAGCCAGTCCAAGGCGGCTGCGTTAATCATTCCGGTAGTCGAACTGCCAAGTACAATAGACCGTATAGGTACGCGTTGGTATGTATAATAACAAATAATACACTTATATATATATATAGAACACGGTGACGTGGACAAAAGGCGCACGCCAAAGTAAAGGTGACGGCGAGACTATGTATACATAATTGCATTTGACACTACTGCCACCATCGTGCTCCTTATTCCGTTATTAATGTAATGTTGTTACAATATGGACCGTCAACAACCTTTGAGAGCGTGGCCCCGAGTAAATTGAAACAATATTAATAATATTTGCACCGAACAAAATATCTTGTCGTCTGAAGTGCGCTGCCTACGGTTTAGAAAATAACAATAAACATATATAATGTGTGTGTGTGTGTGTGTGTGTGTGGATGGGTTTTTTTGTCGGACAAACTTTTTTAGCACATACAAAAAGGGGGGAGTTTTTCATCATCCACCTGTGCGTTTAATAATATTGCTCTCTATGCGCTTTTTTCCATTAAGCATAATAATATAGTCGGGCGGATTTTGAAATTTTCTCGACGAGCTTTTCATACGACAAAGTGGCGATTTATCATTCTCGCTGCCACCCCACCTCGCTACTCTCGTCTGATCACACGATCAACTCTGCCTAAAGTGTACACACCCGTCGTGTAATATATTTTAATATTGTGGGTTCGGTGTGTTGCCGTGCGAACGTCACGGATACCACACAACAGCATCGTACATCCATTTACCATGTGTAAACCTCATACAGGTGCCATGCAGACAAACAGCAGTCCGGTAACTGTGCCGCCTTCGTACGTCGCCAAGTACAACAGGTTCGTGGACAACGTGCTGGGAAGGATCAATAAGATTTTGAGGAAAAACTACGACCCGGTCAACGTGCGCCTCCAGACGCCTACGGAATCTACGACTGACAACAAGAAGAAGGGCACCACGCAAAAGCCCAAGACTAAGAACAAGGTCGAATCCAGAGAAGGGTAATGGAAAAAATATATAATTGTTCAGTACACATTTGGCCAGATGGAAATCTTAAAGATTTTTCGTTCCTAGCCAAAAAACATTTTGTCACCGCATCATTATAACTGACATATTTTACAATTTAAAATTGAAAGATATCAAAAACATGCCATTCTAAAAAACCGTTTATGGTGCCTGTCCATAAATCTGCCGTCGCGTTTGCCTCTCCTTAGAAAACAACTTTGTCTAGAAAAACTTCGATAGTCAAAAATCTGTGGAAACGTTGTACTTTTCAAATACAAAGACCATTTTAAAAAAAAAATTTTTTTTAAAGTACTATCTAAAAACTATTTCAGAATCCATATGAGTTACTTTTCAATAACGTGCACAGAAAACGACACTCTATGCTCAACTATTAAATTTAATATATTCGTTAAAAAAAAGACTGTCAATCCATCCCATTCTCTGTCATACTGCACTACGTTTAACAGTTAAATTGCCAATTTCATACTTGCCGTTTACCATAATAATACAATTTTTTTATCATTTTTTTATTGACATTTTTTCGAAAATACTCATAAGTATGCTTACTATATCTAAAAAAAAAACCCATTTTATTTTTAGCATGACCTCGAGGACATATTATAATATTCAACATGAGCTATTGCAATTGTAAAAAAACGTCTTTTTAGTTTAATTGCAAATTGGTTTTTCCATTTGAGGAATTATGTAGGTATGCGTCAATGCCAAATTTATATTCTTTTTTTTTACAATAAACAATGAATACTGTAGAGCATTATAAAATGTTTATGTTAATTTTAATGTCCCAAAGTGTGTACACTTTTATATTTTATTATTGTGGTTTTAGAATTTTTCGCACAAACAATAGTTGGCAGTTGCTCGGTCTTGAAATTAAGAGCAGAATAAATCGTAAAATCTTTAGTCGTCCGTTACATTGTACCCTTAACGTTAAAATCATATCGAAATTAAGGTGAAAACATCATGAGTTATTATTTATTTGCAAGTAGGTACATCGAGTACCGCTTAAATTTGTATAGTACACCGAACTTGTATTTTATACTCCTTCTTTTTGTGTGTACATTCGCAACACTTGGAATGCATACTGGAAACGGGAACTTAATATTATACGGAATTCTTCACTTTGTCATATTACTGAAGTTATATATCCACCAAAGAGCGACCGTTCTCTATTTCTCTTCGTCTCTATTAACTTATAGGTGTGCTTTCCAGTGTGAATATTCTACGTTTATAATATGTATTTGACCGGAAAACTGTCAACGGCTACGCCGCGTACCCCCGTGACGATTTCTTCAAAGAAAACCCTCTTTTTGAAACTGATTTTGGCCTGTACCGCTTTAGGCTCTTATAATTTGATTTTTTTTGTTTGTTTTTGCATCTTAAAGCGCCGGGCAAGTGTTGGCGAAAAACGACACTTCTTCGCCAGCCCCTACCGTAGACCCGGCTCTAACCGAAACCGAAGCTTCTGCCAATCAGACAGCCGTCAACGGTACCGCACGGGCACAGCGCAAACACGGCCACAGAAACCACGGCCACCACCACCACCACCATCACCATAATAAACGCCAGCACCCCAGTCAAAAACAGAGACAATCACACCCACCACACCATCCGCATCAACAGCACCCGCAACAACACAACCGCAAGTCCAGAGCGCAAAACAACAAACCCAACGCCGGCAACAAGAACAAGGTATCCACGTTTGTATAGTGATCAATATTGACTATAGTTAGCTATAATCATATAGATTAAATTTGAGAGGTGGACAGTAATAGGTTTACAGCTTGAATCGTCTAATTTTTTGAAATTTCCCATTGATTATTAACGTCTCAAACATTTAAAATTTATTGAAATTGAGGAAAGACCGAACTTTTTTCGACGTTAATGGAAAATTATTGTTTTTACATCAAATTTAATGCTGAAATTTGTAATTTATAACTCAATACATTTGTTGAGTAATTTTATTTTATTTACCTGCACGTTTAATGTTATAGAACGCCAAACCAACACCACCAAGAGCAAGAGCTACCATGTACGGACTTAGCACTCTTCGTCGAGACGGTGACGTCAGCGTGAACGTGATGAACAGCCATACCACCGTGAAGACCAAGTTCTTGGTTGGTCCGCTGACCTTGAAAGTAGAAAAAGAAGTACGATCGACCGACAATAAAAAATTCAATCATACGCTATCGCTATATTAAGCCCATTCGGTTCATCTGCCCATTTGACTGATACTAATCATAGCAGTGGTCAAATCTTCTGAAGAAATTCAGTTTGATTACCAACACAAATAATGTCTTGTAACCTTTACTAAAGTTACTTAAACGGATTCAATTTCTCCCCTATCAATTGTATGCACACCGTATTAAAACTTGAGTGGCAGTCATGGTCCAAGGGCCAAAAGATGGACTAGAAGGGTTATAATAGCTAACGTCTTACGGTACCTGCTAACCAATGGACGATTTTATTTTTGCCCACAGTTCGGTCGAGGCGCCAAGAAGGAGATAAGGTCAGCGACGGCTACCACCGGCGAGCTTGTCGGTCGCCTAAACATGCGAGTGTTGAACGGCGGTGCAGCCACATTGCACTCGATTCGTGTACATCAGCCCAAACAAGTACACGATTATATTACTGAGAGGCGGTGGTAGAATATGTAACACACCCCTAACGGCACCGGGATCCTTATAGTGATATCCGAGTCGAGGATACTTTGTGTCTTGTAGAGTCCAATTTGTCCAATGATCGTCCCGCAGAACTCTTGACCTAGGACAGTTCGTGTCTTCTATGTTACACTTGAGCAATTCCCACCTATGGGGAAATCCTATAGGACTCCCGGTGTTTTATAGAGGAGGGCGTGGGAAAGCTGTATATATTTTTGGCTTACAAGGGTAACGCGTATGCCGAACGTTAATGCTTAATGGTTTCAGTTGAAGGTGGAAAGCGCAGACGACCACGACAAGACCAGAGAGTACGTATGGAGGAGATCCAACATGATCGCTCATCTGGTATCGCAAAAACTGACGTTCGCGACGAAATCTATGTTGCAGCCGACCCCGGAAAAGTCGGACCTTAAAGTGTAATATACTAATAGCGAATACCTATATACATAGTAAGTAAGTATGACTTGTTCGCCTACCTGCATAAAAATATCTATTCTGGGTAAAAATTACACAAACGGAAAAACGATTGTTTAAAAAATAAAAATGTGTTTGGCGAGCTCCCCGAATTGATTTCCAAAAGACACGAGCATAGGTATGAATAGGTAACAAAAGTCTTCTCAAAGATGCCAATAAATAATTATTATTCGAGATGATAAAATCACAATCGATGAGAACACAAGGTATCTACTTAATGTGTTAAACCCTAAAGTTGATATTCATAATTTACCTTTATAACAATTGTGAGTTAATTTATGAATAGTAAATACCCGTTGTAGCTGGTAACTTTAATGTCTTCGACCTATACGTTTCAGACGAAAATTGACAAAACGTGGGTAATATTAATAGTTTTATAGCTATCTTGATTATTAATTATATCTACAAATTTAGATACAGGCGATAGTAAAGAGTGTCCTATAGGCATTTGATATAAAAATGTAGGTATTTGATATCAGTTCAAAAAATGACGAATATGAACTTCCTTTTTGAAAGAATAATTTTTAAAAAAATCGACACACATACGAGATTAGATGTCACTTTTCGATAATGCGTTGTACAATTTTATTGGGATTATTTTGAAAAATATTTACAACAGCTTATTGTTCCAAAATATATAACCAGTTTGCCTATGATATTAATAAAAAAATGGTTTTTGTTTTCAGAAATGCAGTTCGACTGTACATATAATGGCTGATTAAATGATAAGATTTTTTCACTATTTATTTATTTATTTATTTATTTACTTATTTATTTAAATTATTTATTTTTTACTTTAAAGACTCCATGACAACGCATGTTTGTAAAAATAAACGATTTTTCATACTAAGTGATGCTAATTTATTGTAACCTAACCTAACCCATTTAGTTTCTCTGACCATATCCCTACCACTGTTTTTTTAAACAAAATTTATCAATGATGTAAGCCTACATTTCAAAAACTATGTGGTTAGATCATACCATAATATATCGTAATTGTCTACCATTTGTTATTATTTGGAAAGCAACGCTATTGTTTATCTAATAAACCGTAAACATACTCATTTATATTTACTATAATAAATTATTATAGTACACCTACCTAATGGTTTGAATAAAAACTATAATATAAGTGCCTTTATTATCAAAATGATCCAGCCTGGACAGCAAATAAGTATTGTTAAAAAATTCTGAAAATTAAATTGTATCATAGTCATATTTTATTCCATATTTAATGTAAATACAACACAATATTTTCACAAATAAATATTATAATATTCCCAAAACTTTGGATAGTTACTATAACATTAAACAATTTATTTTATAGCAGTTCTACATTTTTGTTCGTATAACTTATTACATTTGATAAATTTATTACACAAGTACTACATATTTTAAACTTTCACATTTTTATTTATATCTTTGGAATATTTTGCGATGGAAACTTAATATTAAACACGTTAACGTTCATTTTTTAAAACTTTTTTTCCACTACAAATCTAAAAAAATATATTTAATACTTGACTTAAATATTGGGATGGCAATAATTATCATGAAGTATTTAAATACTTCATTGTCATGACTCATGAGTAAATAAAACCAAATCGTTTTTAAAAAATAACTGTTATCTTCTATTCAAATTATTAAGACGTATTTTTACGATTAAAATATTGATGTCTAAACAGTTTGACATTGTCATCAGATAGACCTTTAAAGCGTAAAATGGTTATTTTTCGCCATTGAAAAAAATGTATTTTTATAATTTTGAAAGCACATCAATCATAAACCATTACAGGTAAGTATAATAAGAAAAATAATAATATATTTACACAATCTGTTAAGTCGATGACGCTGAATTTGATAGCTAGTATAAAAGTTTACATTGAGAAATGCAATAAAAATTGGTTGATAAAAACAAAAAAATGGAAATTGCCAAAAAGTTTTATAACATACAAGTTAAAACTTTTCAGAGAATCGTTTTTTACAGTGTTGACGTATCAACTATCGACGCTCCCCAAGATAACATCACTATGGTTTTACTTTGTTTATTCGTTACAAGCAATTAGACATTAGCCAAAGAAATCCCATAAGAAACATTTTCGTTTGATACAGAAGTTAAGTGAAAAAGCTCATCACATTGGAGCTAAGTGCAACTATTTCAGTCCTCTTCAGTGTGATATTATGGAAATTATAGGAAGCAAAACAAATTTCTATTAAAGTTTTTTCAAGTGCAATAAATTTAAATAATTTTATACGGCATAAAATAAAACAATATTTTAAAACGAAAATGAAGGCCATAGGGCCAAGTATACATTACATTAGCAGTGCTTTTTCCAGCTACCATAATATATATTTTCAATATTTCAGATTTATATTCGATATAGGTAATTTAAATATTTGTAAGTTTGTTTTTAGATCTGAAAGATATCATAAAAATAACACTAACTTTTGAATAATTGGTAGAACCACAAAGCTGTGAAAATTACCAGAACTATATTAGATTGAATAGTGCAGCACTAATACACGAATTAAACAAAAGTAGATTAGTATTTTTTTTTTTTAATATCAAAACGTCATTTTAAATAAATGGATGAAATATTACACAAGCACCATGTAGAAACAATAATATTATTTTGAAACATTATTTTTATTCATAGTATTTATGTTGTCTCCTTTACAATTTCACTCACATTTCGAATTTACCTAACATTTAGAATAATTATTACCAAGTTTAAACTTATGACTGAAGATTTATACTTTAGTAGAAAATAAACTCAAAAAATTAACCAAAATTATATGTATGCTTTTTTTTGTGCTTGCAATAAAATTTAAATACTTCACACAAATTCCAAATAAAAGTAAAAATGTTTGCATTTATTTCACATTGACTCAATCATAAATAGTTTGTTATCCGGTACATATTTTTTACATTTATATATTACATCGTGTTACTATATTAATCTAGTAAAATAAAAACAAATCATCCGATAGATAACATAAATTAGATTGCGATTTAAAGAATATGTTAAGTTCATTCGACCACAAGTTTTATCTAAAAATTCCATATTGATAATTATTTATTATAACGTTTATTTTACTGATAATCACAATGATAGTTTAAAATTAATAGCGATGTCGATACAATGACAAAATTAATTTCAATTGTTAATAAGTATAAACAAACTGTAGTCAGTCAATTAATGTTGTAAAAAATAATTGGCGTTAAGTTTATAATTCATTACAAATTGATTTGATTAGCTAGCTATTATTAGGTATAAATGTTAATATATAGGATTATCTGATTATGTAACACAATCTTATGTTACAAAATTTACAATTGATGATAGTCCTCTAACAAAGGTAAAGAGAAATGACTATAACAATATCCATTATACTAGCCATTTATTTAACGTTAAACAACTTTAATTCAAGATATTTTAGGATATCTGTTAATAAACTATAATAAAAAATGACATTATGTTATGGTTACATTTTTCCCCCTAAGTATTATTATAATTATAAGCATATTTTTTTTTATTAAATCATTGAGCGAACACCGGAGATATAAATTATTATAAAAGGTATAAAAAAAACCTAGTGGTCCCAAAATTAATTGGTATTAAAATGGTTAACAAATTATCCTAAGATTAACTTAGTCACATAGGCTATAAATAAATTGATAAAAAAAACTATGGTCATAATTAAGCAAAGACGAGCTATGAAACAATACAATACATATAAATATATATATTTAATTATAAATAATACAAAATAAATATGAAAAATACAATATTGTCAAGTAGGTAGATAATAAAGAATATTTGTTTTAAAAAAATGCAATAATTTACTCGTCGACTCAACGGAGTGATTTTTTCTTTTATAGATCGTCCAATTACATAATATTAATTTAGCATTTATTTAAAAATTAAAAGCTAATATATAAGAAGAAAAAATTGAATATTGTACCAAAAACAAAAAAAAAATAATAATAAAAGAAAAAATTCATATGACTTATTTAGTTGTCACACGTCAAGTCCAACAATACTATTATTTTTATAAAGAAAATTGATAAAAATAACATAAAATTTCTGATTTCTTTTTTTAAATAAAATAACAAATATTACATTAAGGATACTATAAGATTTCTGAGGGATTTTGTACATATTTCACATAGTTTCTATGTACATAATATATAGATTTTGTTACCTATGTTATAGAAAAAATGTAATTAAAAAACATCAAGATATACAGTAGTAAATTTTATATATCCACAAATAAATAATAAATATGTTTTGATTACATCCTATTTTAATATATAAATATAACACTTGCTTTTATTGAACTGTAATAAAATAAACATCATCTAGTTTTGTTGCGTTTAATACAATAATAAGATAATAAAAATTCTACTGGTATTTAACTCTTTTTTTTTTTTTTTTTAATAACTAAAAATAATAAATAGACTAAATATATAATATGGTTATTTATTCCAAAACAAAAAAAAAATAATAATATCGAGTTATTGAGATACATAATTTCTGGCCAAATCACCAAGTTAAAAAAAGTTTCAGTAAAAATACAGAAAATAAGTAGCACCGGGCAACTTGAAAAAAAAAAGAATAATAATAAAACAAATTGTTAAAATAATCAGAAAAAAAAATTCACAATATAATTTATATCGGTTGTATTAATTTACAATTACAGAATCTTTTTAACTTACAGAATATATTTAAATAAAAATTTTTACATAAAAATTATTAAGCTATCTAGATTACATGATTAGACTATAAAATTAGGCCACGAGTTTGTTCAACAGAAAATAGGTCCCTAGTTAATAATAATATATATATAAATGTGTGTATATATATATATATAAATTTCTTACCGTACTATACATTACATAACATAGTAATTATGTGCGCATTATTATTTTGCAGGAAGAACTTTTGTTTTTGTTAGTTGTTATACACATGCGACAACATGTATACCAATCGAAGAACTGACTGTTATCAGTTTCGGACAATCCACTGTTGGATATAAAGTCCCCTATAGATAAGAATTTTATAAATTAAAACAAATTAGATTTAATTTTAACAGTTTTATGTAAAATAGTAATAATACTAATATTACTAATAGTAAATATTGTAAAATATATAAGCAATATATAAATTAACAGTATTTATTTTTTTTATACTTATTACAGTGCTAGCAAATGTAACTATTTTTTTATTTTTTTTTGAGATTTAGTATACATAGTGAAATTGTAAAAAAATTACATTTTTGGCATTTAATCAAATAAATCAACACTTACCGTTGACAACACAAAGCCGCAACTGTTATATTATTGCGCATTTACGTTTTGGCTTGACTGGCAGTACAGGGCACAAAACAGCTCTAATGGCTTCATCAAATACAATTTTTAAACCTTTTTGGGTCAGAGCACTACATTCCAGATATTTTACTGCTCCGATTTCTTTGGCCATTGATAGACCCTAGTGTTTATATTGGAAAAAGATATTAATATTAATACACAAATACAAACATGCTTACAGTTTATTCCTACAAACAAACCTGTGGATATGTAATAGCAGTGAGTTTTTTCTCTTTAAGCTTATCAATCGTTTCCTTGTCTTCTCGTAAATCGAGTTTTGTGCCGACTAATATAATTGGAGTACTTGGACAATGATGTCTGACTTCTGGATACCACTACGCAGATACAAAATAATAAAATACAAGATTAATAAAAAAAAATAATTTTCAATTGTATTTAAATATTTATAACATACTTTTGCTCGAACGTTTTCAAATGATGCTGGATTTACTAAAGAAAAACAAATTAGAAACACATCCTGTAGGAAGAAAAAAAAAAATGAATGCTAAAAAATTGTTTTTAAACATGGTTAATTCATTTAGTGAATAACATACTGTTTGTGGATATGAAAGAGGCCTAAGCCTGTCGTAATCTTCTTGACCAGCAGTATCCCATAAGCCTAAATTTATAGGTTTTCCATCAACCATAACATTGGCTGAATAGTTGTCAAAACTAAAAAAAAAAATTGTAATTAACCAATAATGTATTTTGTATTGCTATTAAAACAACAGCCAAACCAGTTAACTGTTCTAAAAATGTCAACATCTTTAACAATAATATTTTTTTTAAATTTAGCTAACATTATTCAATTATTGTTAAATCAATATTATTAGAGCATAAGGATTTTAGCTACTATCAAATTGTCAATAAATTATTTATTAAAAAAAAAAAAAAAATTATATAATAATTATTAATACTGTTCAGTTTTCAATAAGAAACAATAAAAAAATAAACATATTGATTTTTTTATTTATTAGGTAAGTAAATAAATTATAAAATAATGAGTTAAAATGAAGAGGCATGAATCACTTAACGATGAATCATTATGTATTAGTCACAATTGAGTTTTGACAGATAACTAGACACAATTAGACAACTAAATCAGTAAAATAAGCAAAATATAAGACGGTGTCAAAACATATTTTGTTCAATTAAACAATTACAAACAAATATTCAGAAACGTAACCAGATTGATAAATTAATATTATCAGGAATGATTTACATAGTTAAAATTCCTTTTTTTATTCTCTGTGCACACAAAATCACATTTAACAAGACTAAAAAAAAAAAATAATAATAGAGAACCTAATATGAAAAAAAAAAAACAAATAAATTCAAATGACTTACACAGTTGGTATGTATTCTCCGGGAAATGCATTGCTTGTGTAACTGATGAGCAAGCACGTTTTACCGACCGCTCTGAAAACAAACAAATCAATTTATTATTTATATATTTATTTTAATAATATAATACTTTATCAATTGAAAATATCTTTTGACAAATTATAAGAAAAATTGTGTACAATCAAACAGGTGTGTATCACATGTCAGATTACTCATCGGAATATCACTCGGCCGGTGTGCAACACGTATAAAGGTGTTGTACACCTAACCGGAAGAGAAGTTTTTTAAAAAAAAAAATTTATCTTTAGCCACCCTACTTTGAATTGGTGTACAGGTATCTCACCAGCCGACGAATGGATAATCGTTACTATCGCACATTCGAATGTAACGAGTTATACAACTTTTATAATATATGTCAGTGTACACACACACACACACACGCATACATACATAAACGTTATCTTTCAATATAGGCCTAATCCCCAATGACGAGCATTGCGAGTTTTTGAGACAAAATACATTCCATATAGGTGTGTAAATAGCAATAGGTATATTGTCGAGCGCGAAACGGTGGCTGACAAAAAGGGAGTAGACCGCGATTGGCGCCGGACGTAAACAATTATCAACATTAACATAGCTATTAATATTAATAACAATAATGAAAACGAATAAGTTTAAAACGATTGTTTGATGAGCAGAACTTACCCGTCGCCAACCACAACACACTTGATCGCTTGCATTCTGCACGGCCTATCCGAATCCGATCAGTAGTACTACCGGTAAATCGCAGTGCACGTTGTCCAGCTATTATTTAACATGTACAGGTCGTTTTTATTAGCCGCAAAATGATTTTTATTGATGTGGGAATCAAACATCGGAAAATGTCAAAACTGGTGGTGGTGATTTCGGGACTTACGGCAAGTGCAAGGACATTCCAGTGATTCCACCCACGGTAAATAAAAAAATTAAAAAAAAACAACTGTCATGGAACAACCGCCGTCATGGCAAAGAAAATCCGAGGCAGCCTCGGCCCAACGTTGGCGTGGAAATTACCGATTTTCCAAACGAACTCGATGAAAAAATGTCGCAAATTAGACCACAGGCATGTCGATAAATCTGTAAATTTTAATTTCCCAGTTTGTTAGCCTTTTTTACGGTAATAAAAATGTCCGGACAATTTTAATCAGCTGTTCCGCGTGGGAAAACTTTACCGACCGTTATCATCGATTCGATTTATCAACATGACATCAGGCGTATGTACGTTGCCCACAAGGAAATGTTTTTGTTTTTTTTGATAATATCAATTCAATTGTTGAAACGCACAACGCTCGAGTCTCGAGCCAAAAATCATGCATTTCCGATCTCTTAATGATCTCTGACAGAGATTCTTTGTTGTTAGTGGTTTTTTTTTCTTTATACCATATTCAATATGTGAGATTTATGTAATTTTTTTTAATAATTCCGACTGTGTGCAGTATTGTAAATAATTGTTAATAAAATCTGTTAGAAATTAACCATGTTTCGAACAAAAAAGTTAGTCAAGCCCGAAAACTTACACTCTTTGGAATATTTAAAGTAAATATTATAGTTTGCCTATAAGAAAGTAATTTTATGGCAATTATTTAACTCGTTTGTTGTTTTTAGATACATTTACACGGTATTGAATAAAAACCAATTGGTAAACGATGCAAATAAAATTTTAATAGTCGAGTCATTCAGAAGCATGGCTGAAATACTAATTTGGGGTGACCAAAACAGTCCAGCTATATTCGAGTGATTACATTTATTAATAAGAATTATATTTTAACCACAGATTATATGAAATTTCAAATAATCTGCGTTTAACAGTTCTCCATGAAATTATTATTCTAATAATCTATGTATTTTATATTATGTTTAAAATTTAAAACAAACTGATATCTTTATCAACAAAGCAATTATTTTTTTTATCATACATGTTAAGTATGTTCCCTAATTTAATTCTATTTTCCACTTTGATTAGTAAATTTGAAATAATTGTCAAGTATAGTTATTTGAAATATAAATTTGTTTTTCACAATGCAACTAACATTGTTATTTCTGGGTATTAGTGTATTTAAACATTTTAATTTGTAATTGGAATTTCTGAATTTTATATTATTTCTTCAGATTTCCGTCTTTTAGATATAAACTAATTGAATTCTAAAACCTTTAAATACGCAATAATAACAATTTTAGATGGTTGGGTATCGCATTAACCAAGTTATTTGGATTTAATTTTTCATTGCTTTCAGATATTTTTTAGAAAATAACATGTTCAACTTTTTTTTACAAATACTTGGTCAAAAATGTGGAAACTATGTTTGTGTTCAACTGCTACAAACACTAAATATTATATTTGAAAATATAAGAAACATGACTGCATTATGTAAGTGTTATAAATAATTAGTTAATTGGTATTTTCATTTACTTACTTAAATTGTTTTTCTTTTAGATTATTTGCTCAGCAATAATCATGTTAATTCAATTATCATAAACAAGTTGGATTTCTCAGACGAGGACGTATTGGCGTATTACATATCTTTTTTAAAAACATTGTCTTTTAAACTCAACTTAAATACCATACATTTTTTTTACAATGAGGTTTGTAACGTATTATGTTAAATAATAATAACAATGTTATTTATATAATATAATAATATATATTGTTAAGTATTTAATGATATCAATATTGCGATATCATTCAATATTTTTATTGCTAAACTATAATCAGTATGCTTAATTTTGATTTTTAGTCTACAAATGACTTTCCTTTGTACACAGAAGCAATCAAATTTTTCAACCACCCTGACTCAATGATACGCACTTACGTTCGTACGTTGACGCTAAATGTTTATAAAGTCGAAGACAAAAGCATGTTACGATTTATCCGGGATAAGACGTGTGCTCCTTATTTTGGAAATTTGGTATGGTTTATGGGAAAACATGTATTAGAACTGGATGCAAGTGCCAGGGCTAAGCCAGTCGATGTAGATACACAAAAAACAATACAGTAAATATTTTAGTTCATATGTATTTAAACTGAATTATTTATTTTCGTTTTTAAAGTGATTAATTTTACGTTTTATATGTTTAGAGATCAGTACAGGGTAAAACTCGCAGATCTAGTTAGTTCTCATATAGATGATTTGCACTATTTAAATGATATTTTGAGCTTACAAGTTGAAATGCTGAACGAGGTCCTCGTTGAACATTTAATGGAAAAGCTTTTTATACCATACTACATTCATTCTTTAGCACCTCCTGACAAATATATTATTGTGGAAACTGAAGAAGTAAGTCAACTACATACGAGTTAAGACTAACCCTTTACATCATTATAATTGTGTCCACGTTTGAGGCCTTCAGTGTGTGTGCAATCATGGACGAACCCGAAAACCCATTTTGGTCTATTCATGATCTTAAAAATATTGATAACTTTTAAATACAATAATGGTTTAGGTACTGTCATCTAGTGAATATTAAGTGACAGTGGTTTAGACTGTTTATGCATAGAACTTTATAGTATTGAATGCTATTAATATCTAACTCTAATATGATAATTTATGGCTTAGTCCATTATGGTAGCACTAAAGACCCCATTTCATACATTACAGTTTGTGGACGCTGTGAAACAACAACCATTAATGAACGGCGATATTTGTTTATTTCTACTGACTCAAGTATTTTTGATAATTCATCAAGAGAAATTAGTTGCGCCGTTGGCTAAATTTTTATTAGACAGTCATTTCCATATTATGTGTCAAGTAATAAACACATTTTATACCTACACAAATATCTACTAAAAATGTAATAACGTCTATGTTTTTTAATTACCTAGACTGTTCAAGAACCTAAATTACAAGATGAAGCGTCAGTGGCATTGCTGGATAACAATTCAGAAAAAGATACAAAATTGGAAAGTAATTCATCTGAATCTGATGTACAACAACTGAAATTATTTGCGTGCATGAATATCACAGATGAAGAAAAAGAAATCCGAATGACTAAAACTGAAGGTAAATATAATATAATATTTTTAATTATTTGTTATTAAAAAAAGTTTTACCAAATTGAGAGTTGCATTAATAACTATAAGGTGTACATTTTTAATTTTAAAATATTTTCATGATATTAATCTGGAATAAAAGTTGTTTTGAAATTAAAGATTTCATCACTAAAATAAAATTTAACCATATAAGTATGATGTTTCATTGATTGTTACGTTTCCTCTTTAATGATTTTTATTATGTACAATATGCATTGATCTCGTTATTTTTGTTAGGTCCTTCACGTAGCAAATGTTTGGAATCTATATATAGCCAACTTGAAGTAGAGAAATCTGATAGTTCTGCATTATTTGGAATATGCCTTTTGTATGCGTTATCGCAAAATACCGGTGTTTCCAAAGAACTGTACGAAGGGTTTTTAACGCCAGGTCATCTTAGTGAAGAATCTTCTATGTTGTTTGTACATCGAGATGAAAAAGAAGAACTTATTGATAAGTTGGTGAATATAATTTCAGTATCGTCTGAATCGAGTATGTAAATCAAATACAAAACTTGTAAACGTATAATTGACAACTGTAATTTTTAGGTTGTTATGTGCGTTCGGTAACATTGGAGATGGCTATTAAATTACTTAAGGAAATTACCATAGAAGAAAAACAAACATTCCTATCTGATAAACATGTCGCTACTATTTTTAACGCCAAAGAAAAAATTCTACCTATTCTTCGGCAATATTTCAAAGTATGTCTTATATAATATATATGCTCATTACAGCAGCAGTAAGCAAATTTACTTGTTTTATTAACAGTTTAAAATGTATGTTTTGTTAGAAAGAAGAAATGTTTTTAGAATTGTTTGAAGATGAATACAATGAAATGCATAGAGATAAACTCGATGTTCAGCGACTCATGAGTGACTCAACATTATTACTTCCTCCTGCTCACTCACCGATGACAGGAATACCATTATCCAAAAGGCTACCTTGTGGTGACGTAAGCATTTTTTTAAAAAACAATTTTACATTTCGCCATTTTACTTGTATGAACTAGTGTTGTTTTACCTATTCAAATAATCTATTTAATTAGGTTGAAAGAACAAGACATTTTATATGTGCATTTCTTTTAATAAGAGAATTATTGATGACCTACGAAGGAAAAGAAGAAACTCAACTACCCCTAGTGGATAGAACCAAGTGTTTTACATTTGACACTCCGATTAACTTGAGTAATTACTGTTTTATTTTTTTTTAAATTTGTTAAACATTAATTATTTTTTGTTAAAATACCATATTTAGATGGCAATGATTTGATAACGTGTATGCTGATAGCCGAAAATGGCGCGAAAACTAGAAGGTATCTATCGATTATTAGCAGTCAATTAGTGCTTGTCGAACCACATAGTAGATTTCTCGGTTGGGGTGTTTGTAAACTTTCGTGTTATCTTCAAGACGCTGAAGTAATATTTCATTTTGCATATTTTAAATCTTTAAAAAAAAACTAATAAATATTTTATTTGTAGGTTACCAAAATTGACAATGAAACAAAGACACTACATATTACAATGCATGGTGCAAAGTTCAGAATTTCTCAAACTGTGAAGTTAATGTTTGATGATCATATTCGATGTAATGCCGCCAGACAAAAGTAATGATGCAGTTTTTTTTATCTTATATAATATTTTGTAAAATACATATAAATTCCAAATGTTTGCTAGTCCGCTATCTTTGTGTTTGTGCAAATTAGTGTAGAATTTGCATATCGATTTCTTTCAAGTATTTATCATTCAAAAAAAATAATTTAAAATATTTATTTTACACTTATTCAGACTAAAATAATAGTTTTTAGTTAAGAGCTAAGAAGTTTATGTTGTTAATTAAGTTAATAGGGTTTAACTAGATAGAATTTATAGTTATTATTCGATACAAAATTTGGAAGTATTAAGTTTGTTTCTTTACTACTATTGAAGTCAATTCATTAATTAAAAGTTAAATACAAGGAAATTAATCATTCATTAGTCATGTAGTAGTATTAAATAATGTGTGTTTCTAATTTATTTTACAAATCAGATTGTTAAATGGCCGTGTCAAAGCAAGGCGAAAACAACTCGGCCAGATAGCCAATTTATTGGAAATGGCTAGTTGCGAGACAAACTACGCCCCTTGCAATTCTGTTCCAAAATCAAGTTAGTGCCCAAATTATTAAATCAACATTGTGTTAATTAAATTACAGATAAATTTGTATTATATGATGTTAATTGCTACAATGTTCTAGAACACGGACATGGGCTAAAAAGTCATTTCACAGAAGTGGCGGTACATACATCAGGTGTTATTCCACCATACTCAATTTCAATGAGCTCCACTGGTAAGTAAAAAAAAAATGTTAAAATATCAAACATTTTGATTTTTTTTTTTACTAAAAAATGTTATGCACTTAGGTGATGACTATAGCGCCGAATCGAACTGTAGTAGTATTGCACACTCCAGAGATCAGTCCCCGAGCACTAAAGGATATAATGAGCAAGATAGTTCTAGTTCTCGAAAGGTAACAATAATTAGTAATTAGTATGTCGAGGAGGTTATATTATCATTCTAATAATAATTATTGAATGTATTCTTTTCACTAGTCTTCATTAGTTTCACAACAAGAAAAAAATAAACCTAAACGAAAAGGCAGAGTGGAAACAGTATAATTTAATGTTATTATCTCGTTATTGAAAAAAGTATTATACAGTTTTTTCTAGGATAATTCGCCGTGGTCAATATTGATGTTAACTAGTATTTTGTTTTATGTTTAAAAAAATTAGGAGTAAAAATAATATGCTGTATAATATATTATTCAAATTCCTAATTTATATCTGTGGTAGAATGTTATTTTTATTTGTTTACTTACTGTTAATCATGTATTATTTTGTTATTTCATTACATATATTTATATAATTGTGTATTATAGTGTTATATGAATAAACTATTTTATTTTATTATAATACAAATTGATTTTTTAGTATCTAGTGAAATACAAAGGAAAAAATTTGAATTCATTGCATACATTATTGTCTGTGAGCAAGTCGAAATGTGGATATTATTGGGTTAATGAGATTTGACAACAATTAGACGTGTTTAGTTACAGATGATTTTTGTGAAAATAATTTTTGGTCAACAAAAACTTGAAGAGATAAATCTAGTTTTTACAAAAAAATGAAAATAAAATTGTTTTTTTTATTTAGGTTATAAAAATCACAAGAAATTCTACATTACGTTTTATAATATAAGTATAAAATATACTCGCTTTATTAAAACCATTGAAATCATAATCTATTATAACATGGAACTTGGATAACTTAGATATTATGAAACGTAATTTTAAAATCGATTATAAGAACCAAAAATCCTATGGAAGTTGCATAAATTCCATTTTAGCTTTTTCTATTTTACTGACATACGGATTATCATGAATGTAAAAACGTAGTAACTTATTTTGCCATTTTTTTTCACAGTTGATACCAATTCTAGGAGCAGCGACTATAGTCTTACATAAATCATCTTGTCCATCATCCTCCAACCACATACCGTCCCAAGAAATAAGATTTTGTCTATTACAAGTTTCTATATCAATTGCAAGGCTTATGCATAATTTTGCTGGACCATTACATAAATCTTTAGTTTTTAATGTAGTTTTTGGACTTTTACGATACCGCTTCCGGAGTTCAGTCATTCTTTCTAAGTTCTCTAAAGGTTCCAAAGCTCTCAACAATACTGCGGCACCTTCTCCTGTAGAAAATGTTACCATGCTTATTCGTAATGGGAAACTCAAATTAATTCTCAAGAGTTAAGACTGTCAAGCTGTACCTTGACTTGAAATATTAAAACAATGGTACATTCCGTAAGTGAAATATACGTATGCCGTTCCCGGACTCATAAACATAGGTTCGTTTCTTGGAGTCACTTTGTTACCGTAAGACTGAGACGCAGCGTCTTCACCGCCCAAGTAGCTTTCAGTTTCTACAATTCTACCTTTGATTATACATCCGTCATTTAAACGTCGAGCAAGGACTTTCCCTAATAGATTTTTAGCCAATGCTTCACATGACGTGTTGAAAAAACTTTCTGCAAGCCTTTTGCAAGTACTCTGGAAGTATTTTGAAGTATCTCCAGAATCCATATTTTATGATGATCTGAAAAAAAATTGTATTCTATTTTTTTTAGAAATTTTGCCTAATCTATCAACTAACTATAAAACTAAAAACATAAAAATTACCTATTCTTTATAGCAATATAATATTATGATCACATTACAATAGAGCAAGACATTCAGTTTGTTTAATTTATAAAAACGTAATTAGAAGTTAGAACTAGGTAGCAAAACAAAATAAATAATAATCTAATGTTAAAATGATTAACCGTTTAAAACTTGTTTAAATAATCGTAACGCTTATCAGTTATCATGGATCAAAAATTGATAAGAACATTTGATTACAATCAACAAATGAAACGAAATTTGAAATGAGATTCAAAAAGGGTCACTGGTACTTCAAGTCGTTGCAGCCATTATTTGTTTATTAACATATAATGTGTATATTACATTGTACAAATAGTATAAAGTTAATAGTTTCACAGCCGCTAATAGGTTACTGTATAAAGAATTGTATTGGTCCAATTATTTATTAGACAATCCATCAAAGCAAGGAGTCATTTATTCAATAAGTCTGTCTGTTTACCAATCTGTCATCTTTCATGTTAAACTAACTTTAACACTAATAGTTAATAATAATTTAACAAAACATTTTTCTGTAACTTTAATTTTAAGTAGATAAGTGTAAAAAAAATATCTTTTTTAATAAAACTTTTATTTTAAAAGTTCTCATGAAAATGTTTTAACATAAATGTTCCAAATAAATTCAAAGATGAACATAATAAAATATTATATGTCTTAGCTTGTATTTTGTAAAATGTAAGTTAAATAATAAGTACAAGTGTTTAACTTACTGTAATGGGTAAAAGTTGAAGGTATGAGTTTTACTTTTCTGAAATTTAAAACGAGGCACCACGAGTCACATGAAATTTCAAACTTTCTTTAAGTCTTTTTATAATTTCGGTGGCTAATATACAATGTTGTAGTTCATTGTTAGGTAGGTAACTCATAAAAAAATTCTATAAATTACTTTTGAGTTCATAAATATATATAGGTACACAAGTATGTTATGAGTTTTATAAAATCATTTTAACTAGTGGACATGGGATATTTTTTTAAGGAGGTTAGAAATACCTACAGCATCTACAGGTATCATTTTCATATCATTTTTTAATTACAATATTATTATTAATTAAATAGTGAATACAAATAAGAATAACGTGTTTAATAGCTGTAATCATACAATTGTAACTTTATAGTTTTTTTTTTACAATTATTGACACAAATTACAATTTGCGCCTACAGGTAATGGAAAGACGAAAGTAATGCTTATATATAACCTATCTGCACTTTATATTATGTATTTTATGCTAAAAATATAAAATATGTAACATTAAATAAATAGAACTAAAATAAACATTTCAAGAAGAGCAGTTTTTTATTTTCTGTCACTCTTGCAAGGAGGGGGGAGCATTAAAAGCTTCATAACAACAATATTGCACAAAATTCACAGAAACAAGCACAGGTACCAAGTATTGTATACTTTCAGGTACTGTTGATTCCGAGTATTCGGAGTGAGCAAATGTAAGTTCGGATTCTTTGAATTCATTAGTTTTCTTAGCATTAAAATATTTTATCATACAGAATCGTAACTTAAACGGTGTTTAAGCAACAGTTAGTTCATTCGACTATACACCAAACGATCCTATTGATTTATATTATAATAATTCTTACAAGTACTTCCATTGGTTACAGATTGTGAACAAATATAGTCGGAAGATTTGTTAATTTGTCTGTTAGGTTTTTTCATACGTTTTAATTGGTTTTTATTGACATTGTGGGTACCCTATGACAACATTTTTCTTTTTAGGGTACTTATGGTAGTCGAAGTAAAACCCTTATAGTCTTACTAAAATTTCATCTGACCGCCAGGCTTTGACTGAAAGCAATCAGATTAGATATAAGCTTATATCTATTAAATTGCCTGGATACAAAACTAAAAATAGTTATTTATGCTTAAGCTTTAAGTTCAGTGCCCTTTTCCTTAATGGGTACCTATGAATAAATAATTATTTGTGTGTTCGGAGTATTTTTAATATTTTCTCATCATCTAATGTTTTTTGTTTGATGTATACCGGTCCCAGAACACTTAATAATGTTGCCAGAAACCGTAATATACCTAAATGAATGGTCAGGAAAAAATATTTTTTTCATTTATAATTTATATTTTATTATTCGTTAATGAAATACTGCGAAATTATAATGGAATCTCTCAACAACAGTATACAAATAAACAATAAAAGGGTGTACAGTAAAGTTGTTGTTTTTCATGCCAAAAGGGAGGCAGGTTCTATGTAATTATAAAGTATTATTGTTTCATGTTAGAACGATTTTAAAAGAATATTAAATTCTAAAGTCGCCACTTTTATTATCGTATTTGTTGTTCCATAACCTTACTTTATTCAAATTTAAATATTTAATAAGCACCTAAGTCCTATAAGTAAACACCTCCCACGAAGTGCGAACAAAACAACCCTACGGTTTAGTCACATATTTATTACATATAATTATTTATAGATTACCAAGAAAACAAAGGTAGGTATTATAGGTTGCTAAGAAAGGTAAGTAACGTTGTAAATTATTTAGAACACAATATGTATGGAATGCGATAGAATAATTTTAAAAGAAAAACAAAATCGAATGAATTTATTAACTTTTGTGAACGCTTTTTTATATTTGACAGCATAATAACTAAGTAAGTACAATTTGTGAGGGTCTGGCGTCTTAGAAATCGACCCACAGTTTTCAGATTTATACATATTTTTTTGTCTCCATGTACTTTTATATTATGCAGATATAATATACATAAATCATATAACATTAAAACCAAACTTTACTTAGCTACATAAATAATATAACTCAGCTCAATTATTATTACGTTAATATATGCTAAATTGCATTGAAAATTCAAAATAACCAATACCTATTAGGTTATATTGATTGACATGTCAAAATTTATTACATTAATACGTTACTGTAATTGTGTTGGACAGTAAACAAACTGTTTGGTTCTATTTAAAACGTACTAGTTCATTAAACCGTAATACAATTCAATTATAATATTATAATGCAATATTGCTTGTATACCGTGTTCAAAGGGGATATTAATTTAGTTTGAACCGTAGAATTAAATATATCTATTATTATTAATTTATATCATGTATCCAAAACAGTCTGGACTGAAAATAAATTGCAAAGTTTAAGTACTTTGTAAATATATAATTTTATAAAATTTTAAGAATATTGTACACATTCTTTCAATCTTCAAGTGAGTCGTATGTGTGTACGTTTTATTAGATTACTTACAAAATTATTTTTTTAAATGTATAATATTATTATACAATAACATTATAATAATAGCCTAAAATAATAATTATTCACATCTTGTTATATCGTTCTAATGACAAAAACGAGAATTTAATAAAATATAGAAATTGTATTTATCGCAACTGTTAATAGTTTGGGGTTGCAAACAATATATATCCTTCGAGCTGCTCATTATTCTAAGCCAACAATGATAATGATAAATGATTTTTCATATTATACGAATATCGAAACGGTAAGCGCCCACGCGTGTTTTATAATTACTTTTTTATAATTTATAGTAATAGTATCAAACGGTTACTACGGTTTCCCCGCCCTTAGGGCAAAACCAAATCGTTAATGGCAACCACCTATGGAATATAGTACTTTAAATTCAATGCAGAGTTGAGGGATTATAGGTATTGGATTAACAACGACTGTTCGACAGACACATTTATTGATCGGAAAATGTTTAGTTGGGTAATTCATTAGATAAAAGTTTTAAAACAGTTTTAAGTTTTTCAGAAGAATCGGTAGTTTTCCATTTTCACTGTAAAGTTTTAAAACTCTGCTTAAAACAATACAATTTGGTCCTACTATGTTTGTTGGTTGTTCCCTTCAGGCAGCGCCATGGAGAGTTCACAAACACTCGTTATTCAAATTAGGAGACGTGAGAAATGAGCAAATAATAATGTACTTATGTATCCATAAGCTAAGTGTAGTAAAATATATATTATGTAAACTACAAACATAAAAGTTGTATTTTTTTGCAAAATACTATAGAATTATTACTATTACATCAGTAATTTTTAATGTTTTGTATTTTTATACTTATCATGGCTTTTGAGAGGCACCTACTTTAAGTTTTATAGGTCATCTATTTACAACTTTAGATACTTAACCAAATTTAATTGATGGTCATTAATATTGTTCTATAACACAATACTGGTTAAAGTTAATTTTAAAACAGAAATTAACAACTAGTTGGATGTTAAAAAAAATATACATAATAATTTATTTAAAAAACGTACCTATTCTTAATAATTTACAATAGCATAAAATGGAAACATTTTTTTAAACGGATTTTCGGTATGTATTACGCGATGATCTAAAAATCTAAAAAAAAAGATTGACAAACGTCTATATATTAAACCTGTATAGGTATACTATTCATATATAGTGCACCAGTATATCATATATAGTGCACCTATATAGGACGTATCACTTTGATTAGGCTGTACTCTAAAGCTTAACTATGTGTTTAAAATTATAAACAAAATTTCAAAAATGTATAGATGAATACAATTCAACAAATGTTTGTGTAGGCTTGTAATTATAATCAAATATTTAGTATATTACGTTGAGCATTTGATTTTTATATAATATCTTTCAAAATAAAGCAACTAATTAAAAACGCATTAAATATATTAAGTATGATTTTATTATAAAAAAGAATATGTCAGTTATATTTTTATACTTGAAGCCTGAAGGTCTGTGATTATGAGTGAATTATGATAGTATTGTTCTATTTTCCGGGTGCCTGTTGTCAACAATCCGGGATGTTTACGCTAAAAACAAAAATTAAGTATTATTATCTGATGTCAAACAGTTCACTGTGGTCCCGATTCGTCCCTGAATGGCAATACTCAAATCGAGTATAAAGAACCTTGTGCCGCGCCCTCTTGCCCTGTCATTTGTCGGCATTGGACATCATCCGAAAAGCAATCAATTGCTCCACTGGATTCAGTATTATTTTCAGTCGGAAAAATGATAAAGATTTTATTTTTTATTTTTTGCATTCGCAGAAATCCGGAAATGATATTCAAGCCCGTTCAACAGAAAAGATATAATAAAGGATAAAAATACATAGAAACATAATATATACAAAAATATATGCAATAATATTATTTCAATTATAACGGTCACGGGGCATAGGCTAATTAATGTATATTGTTATTAAAAAAAAAAAAAGATTCCCGTAATTTTTTCATTGGCAGATTCAATTGAAAATGCGAGACATTCTTTGTACGGCAATTATTATAGACTAAAAGCCACTTGGCTGTTTTTAAACAAAGAAATACAGCTGTAAGTTCTTTACATAATATGGAACCGATTATCGAAAAGGTGGCAAAAAGTAAAAGACGACAGTGTATGGCATGGAAATCGAATATTTGTAATTAAAAGATAAAATACTATTTATTAAAAGAAACGAAGAAAAGGTATTTCGCGAGGAAAGTTGAATCATATTTCTTATAGTTTTTTTAGAAAATAAATTATATACATTTCATACAGTTGAATCCCGCATGATTAATCATATCTCCTGTGTGCCATACTATCGCTATATGGATCGTTAGTGTATGTGAGTAATAATAATTTAAAGGAAACAATTATTCTAAATCAAAATATTTGTTCAATCATTTTGAGTGCTTCTGAATATTAGAAATTTGCTATAAGAATTTTAAAAAATAACAACTTAGTCAATAAGGAAGTGGACTGAAACCCCTGAAGCCTCCTACTGCGTAAATAACAAATATTTTATACAATAACAATATTTACTAAACTTTAATTGGCTCATTTTATTAAACAAAATATAGTAGCCATATGGCTAACGAGGAGAATGGACCTTAGCCAGGGTCTACACCCTGGCTGCCTCAGCCTACGCTGAGTAAGCCCGTTCGCATAACACTAACATTTACTTTTCCTTTTACCCGCAACCTCAGCATTTTGTTTGATATTTTTTGTGTTCTAAAATTGTGTTTTACACTTATACCTGAGTGTGCTGATCTAAAGATGTGATATTTAAAAGATAAATTATGAACATTTTTGTTCTGAACAGATCATAACTAAATCATTACTCCGCATACTACAATCATTGTATTAAATTATAGACGCACACTTCAGACAATATCTCACTAATGACAATATATAATGTTATAGACGTTATACGACATACTTACTTGTAATTATGTCTCATAAGGTCTGACAGAAAAAATACAGCACAATATCTTTTAAAAAAAAATACAAATTACTAATAGGTTAAATTTTTATAAATTGAGCGTGTATAACAAAAAGTAAACTAAATAATAATAAAATCCAGGTCTTTTGTAACACTATTCTTAACAATTAAGTTATAATATTTTATAGCGAAAACGTCTTTTTATTTTAATAAATCGACATGCATGCAGTTAATTAGCTCAGATAACTAAAAAGTTACACAGATAAATCAATTGTAAAATACCTAGATAAAACGTAAAACATATAATCTAAATTAAATGCAGATGAATAGTTAGCAAAATTATTCATGAAGTATAAATATTAATAAAATATCTATGCTAACAAGAAATAAAAGACTACAAAATTTAGTTATAAATTTACCTCTAGAAACTAATAACAAACAACTAGAAATAATAAATAAAACTTTCTGAAAATTATTATTATATAAAGTAAAACATTTATTTGTAAAATTCGTCATACTAATAAAATGTTATACTGTTATCCTAAAATAAATACATATTAAGACTAATTATCAAGAAATCTAATAACATCCTATGTCCTAGTAAAAGTTATCACTCCTAGCTAGCATGCATGAAAAGTCATGTGAAAAACAGTTCTCCCTCATTGGTTCTGTATTTAAAAAAAAAAAAAATCATAACATGTTTTTAGATACTATACCTATAATCAAACATGTAAGATAAGATTTGAGCTAATGAATGCAAATGTCATTTAGATAAGACGAATTACAGCAATATATTATTAGAATCTACTAAAACGCTCTTGCGACGTGTAGTGATTTTTTTTTGTATTATTACTCATGTTGTACAAGATATTATTTCCACTGAAATTTTATTTTTAATTTTCCGCAAATTTTTCCACCAGGCGCGCAAAAAAAAAAAACCACGCATTTTTTCGAGTATTCCGGCGACAAGTCTTTCAAGACAAGGTCGTTTCGAACTCTCGTCCCATCCTGACATATATAGGCACTACCGATAATATGTTAATAATCAATTACGGTAACAGGAAAATTGTGTTGGGACGTATTAGATCAAAGAGACTCGACCGAAAGTGCATGTGCTGGGGGATAACGGCGGGTCGCGGGCGGCGAGATTGGTGTGTGTGTGTAAGTATATGTGCTATTGATTTTTGGCGGGTTCGCGGTGGGCGAGGGGGCGGGAAGAGCCGTGGCGCCGGCGCTCCGGCCTAGAGCGGTGCCGCCGACGGTTGTTTCGGTGTAATGACGAAAGCGACGGGCCGAAAGCCGAGCGAACAACTTGGGTGCGGGCGCGGTGACTACCGTGTGTACGACAGTAGCCTTTGTAGTGGCCAAAAAAACGCATTCGGCTCACCCCCCCGAGTCGGCCGACATCGGCGGCACACACAGTGAATATAAAATATAGTAAATAATTATTTTTTTTTTAAATTATTATTTTTATTCGATTTTTTTTCACGAATGCTTGCCAGTGTCTTGTTCGCGTTTAGTTCGTGTGTGTGCATAGGCAGCAAAGCGATGGCCGCGGGCGGTTGCCGGGCAGCAGACACGACTGTTCCACATCGAAACAGCTGCTCTTGTCGAGTGTTAACGTTCAATCCGGCCACAAATCTAAACCCAACGCATCAATAATTGACTCCGGTAAGTAAGGTGGGGTAGTAATAGTACTGTGCACCGTACACAAAAGGTCTTGCGGGAAAATCATTTCCGTCAACAACCTTTGACTGACGCACACACGGCGAACATAAGTGACAATTTCTACTTATTTCGGGCCTAGAGTGCATCGGCTATGGTTAAAGTGGAAGGGAGGACCGTCCAGAAGACTCTAGACTGTCTAGCTACTTTGTAAACCGTTAATTGTGCAGTCCCTTTGACCACATTATACGGCCATTTACCCATAATTTCTACGAGACGATTATTTGTTTTAATGAAATAAGTGGAAGTAACTTCACAAAACAAATTATTTTCTCCGTTTTGATGCAAGTTAGAAAAAAAAGCATCCAACCCACTTTAACTCACAGTCACTTTCCGAGGTCTCCATAAGTTGTCGGCAACTATCGCTTTCTGATCAATTAACCTGGCAACCCTTAACTTGGCTTAAAATTGCAAAATAGTCACACTTATTAAGTTGGCCATCAAAAAATTACTATAAAAAGGTTTGTATTCAATTATTAATTATAAGATACAATGTCAAGTTAATGGTTAAAATTGTACACGACAACAAACCACCACAGTGGCGTAATCACGATTTTAGGCACATTAAGCAAACACAGCTTACCCACAAGTAAGTTGGCTTCTTTGGTTAGAGAAATTTCATTAGTGCATACAGGGTAATATTTTTGAGAGGTAGGTTAATACTTTAAAAACCGTGTAATGCAATTAAGTGCAATTTTTGGTTTTGAGGGTAAAATTTTCATACAATCAAAGCAGTACTTCTCGAACGGCAAATAAATAAGATGAACGTAAATTCCATTGGAAAAAAATTGATGATTTCTTATAGTTACCTAACCAAAACAATAATTGTAATCGCTGTAATGGATTCACACGATAATCGACAGTCGATTATTACTATTAGTGTTGTTATATATGTATATATATATATAAAAAAACCATTAATACTCGCATTTTTTGCCCGTCGGTTTTGCATTGTTTTCCATTTTTGAGGTCACGCATGCGCGCCGCCGTGTTCGATATCAGGTCTTCCGGTTAAATGTAATTTCTTCTATTTTAAACCGTATAAACGTTCGAACTTATCCTATTACGATGATTGAAAACAATTATTATTCACCTTAATCGGATAGTCTGTCACACACCGAAACGCCTATTAGCATATCAGTTCAATATAGGAATTATAATATTACATTGAATAATTATTACACTCCGTTGTACCTAATACTACGCTTAACGAATTTAGACAAATATATAAATTTTTTTTTTACGCACCGATGAGGTTTTGGAATTTAGAAAACAAATTAGGTACTTTAAAATTTTTAAATATACTAAAATAATGTATACAACTATAAGGTTGTATTATGTTTAGTCGTTATTATTGAAATTGTGTTTTTATCAAATCCGCATAATTGTTTACATTTCATAAATTAATTAAAAAAATCAAATAATATTACAATGAAACACAATGACGAAAAACCTAAATATCATTTAATTGTATACATGTAATAACGCCAAAGCAAACAACTTTTTTTTTCTCTTTGATAACTGAGATGACCCAAAACTTCAGATCGTTGAAAAAACACTTATGATGTAATGGACTGTTATTTTTCATGACCGTTGGCTGTTCTTTACGCTATCATAAAAAGTACTGCCGTAAATCGATAAGGCCGCAGGGGTTGAGTTTTAGTTAATGAATAATATCAATTTAAAAATATATACACTAATATACATTAATATTAAAAAGATTATTAATAGCTTTACTGTTAAAAATATTGATTTTTTTTCATACATTATTAAAACGGTACGGCGGCACTTAGTTACATAATTTAAATTCTCTTTTAAGTTTATTACACTTTAATTGCTTTTATTTTAATATGCATAGTAATTTTAATTCATACATTAAGAATTGTTATTTTTTTCCTTAAAAAATACATAGTGGTGTTCCTAACCTTCCTCGAATAAAAAAAAAATAGTGATAACAAACCTTAGGATAACAATTCGTTGCGCAGTTGAATTTTTTACGATACTAATGTCTCGTCCCTCAAAGCTCGTTATGGTTATTGTGTATTTTCCACATAATTTAAATGTATTTTAATAACGTAAGTCTAGTTGAACGTTATTTTTATTTTAATTAAAAATAACGCCTAAGTATCAGGTGTAGTGTTTGTTGTGTTATGTATGAATGTAAGACTGTTATTTTTAATTTTTTGTTTGTTTTTTCTACAGCTTTTGTAAATTTATTGTTTTTTTGCACATAAATCATAATTATTAATATAAATTTAATTATTTTATAATGTACGCATTTTAAATTTGTGTGGAAATATTATATTGTTCAATATTATAGAATTTTACTGTTTTTATTATTTAATATAACTCTTCGAGTGGTAATTAAATTAACCTCTCATTTCGAAAGGAAGAAAATAAACCTTTTTATTACCAATTAGAAATAAACAATAATGATTTGAAAACTAAGTGTTGAGTAATTTTTTTTTTATGTTTTAACCTAATGACTAAGCACAATAACATTAAAATGCGTATTATTTAGTGCCACGTTAAAATTGTTTAGTTTTAAAATACGAAAGGGTCTCATACGATGGGTTTAATGAGTTCTTGCAAGATAAACTGACGTCATTAAGAATGAATATGGAAAATATGGATATAAAAATGGAGCTGTATGCTGCAAAGGAAGGTAACAATTACTGACAAATATGCCGTGTGATAAAAGGAAGCCGTTAAGAGGGTCATGGGAAGTTTTTTTCATTTACAAGGTCCAACCCTTGTATAAAAGTATAAAATCAAATATAGCGAAAATGATAATATTAGGTGTAGTATATAAGTTCATAAAACTGTCTTGGTTAAAAATAATAAATAAGAATTGTATGTAATTAAATTTGTTTTAAGGATATATTAAATTAATAATTATAGTAGCAAGTATGAGAATATGTTATGACAACTATTTGAGATTGTTAAATAAAAAAGAAGGAACGAAAAATATTATACAAATAAAGTTTTTAATATAGTGTGCATATAATGGAAGCAACGGGATAGTAAAAGAGGTTATGACCTATAAAAAAAGGCCGTGCAAGGAAAAAAAATATACTGCTTGTGTGACTCAGAGGCAATGGTTATAAATTATACGAGTATTTTTCACATGTAGATTGAGAAGGTTTTTATGAACATTAGTACGGTCATTAACTCATATTTAAATTTAAAATACTAACTTGCGATATAATAATGCTAATTTTTTAAATTAAATCATATAATTTATTATTTATAAACCATTATACTTTTTAGAAATCTACTTTTATCTTTACATCAATTGCCTTTTATAATTATGTAGTTTTATTTTGTAAGTATTAATTATTATTATTCAAATGTCTTTTTTTTTTTGTTAAACAACAAATAATAACAATTTTAATTAATAAATTTACCAACCATAATTTGTGAGTTTTTAATAAAATTTATAAATTCTATAATATTGAATAAAAGGTGTCATAGCATAAAAGCAGTTACTGATACTTGAAAAAGTAAAAAGGACATAGTTAAGGTTGGTTCAAAACACAAGAAATGCATTTATTTTTTTATATTATTTATGTAATCACTTTTTTCGAGCGGGACCATTAAAGGAACTGGACATATTATCAAGAGTAGTTCATAAAAGATTCGCAGAACTCAGGAAGTAAGTAATTGTAGTAGTATCGACGTGGAAAATGAAATAGGAGAAGCCTTGCGAGTATAAAGATACCTTAAGGTCGTTAACGGGCTATAGGATTACCTGAGTTACTCTGACGGCTTTAAAAATGAGGAAGCAGAAGCAGGGAGGGTCTTAATGGGAGGAGAAAGCAAAAATCGATACAAAAATGAGCACGACAACATTAAGCGTTAAGAAAATATACATTTTAAACTTAAAAGTATATAGAATTAAAAATTAATTTTTATACACGCCCCCAAAAATTATAGGGAAAAGAAACTTTTAAATGTAGACTGCGCGTGCAAAGTACCTATAAATAAAGTTTTTTATTATAATATTAACATTTTTCATTTTTTTTTTTTTTTTGATTAAGTAAAAGAATTAAAACAAATAAATTAATAATTGTGTTGACAATAGGAATATAGACATTAGACACGTTTATCAGACATTTATTCAATATATTTTACATCATATGTCCTACATATTATATAAATTACTTACGAATTAGGTTATATTAGCATATTTTCTTATCTTTATTGTAAATTATATTTTTAACTTATAAATAATTCGGTGTATAAATTGCAAACGCTTTATATTCAATGCTAATAGCGTTTCTAGACAGAATTGTTTTCTGAATTAGTTTACTGATTGTTCTTATGCGAATCTGGAAATTAATGAAATATTCTAATGAGCGATTAAATTTATATTACTAACGAAAATGTCAAAAATCCTGCACTAAGTTAAGAATGAAAAAATTGAATGGGTAAACGCAAGTACCAGCATGGTAAAGATACACTTGAACTATTTGTACCGATTCATAACAAGGTCATATTGTTTTTGGAATATTTCTCTACTTATGCCTCATCTTTTTCTATATTTCACGGTTTTTTTTTATCTTCTTACACATTAGATAATCCTCTATTACATAGGTGTATCCAAACCTCTGATATTAGTGATAAGTGAGTATTATCAAATTGAACCAAATTTATTGAGGCGTATTACCGCTAATCTTCCTTTATTGTTAATCCTTTATTTTTATTACCCTTTCGGTGGCAGTGATAAATATTAAGTAGGCGTTATCAAATGATACCAAAGTTAACAAATCCTACCCAATTTTCCTCCTACGTTCTACTTTTTTCTACCCGTCGTTATTTTATATCCTTGACACAAAACCATTATTTCAGTTAACAATATGTTATGTTCTTATATTTATAACAAAAAAATAAATGTTAATTAATTTAAGTTGACGTAATAAATGCGTTACTAATGTAGTAGAATA